AGAGAGAGAGAGAGAGAGAGAGAGAGAGAGAGAAAGAGAAGAAATTATTATACTTTCCTTGCAACGCTGAAACTTTATTATAAATGTATGGCAACGGTGGTTTTTTTCCGTAATTTTTTATTCATCTCGAGAACAACAGAAACATTCTCCCTTCCGTGTTATATTTTCGTCCAGTTTGAAATCCCTTCCTCTCTTACTTTTGTTCTCTCTCCTTCCCGCGTGCAAACAAACAAGACCCGTGCTTGCCAGCGTAGGTCAAATATTTTTTCTCTTTTTTTTTTCTTTTTTATCAACTGTGCCCGACTAAAAACCGAGGCGCGGTTTTCAAGTTTCGAAACTTCCGGTTGAAATGTTTGCAGTCACTTACCGATGCAGTATTTATTAACGCGCGCCGTTATTCACCGGTGAAGTATCGTTGAAAATCCGCTGTAAATCCCGTAAGCTGTCTTCCCGGGGCACGTAAGAAAATTCTGTTAAGCGGCCGGGATAAATGCTGCATCCGTCATCGTTGAGGTCGATCTACGAGAACGAGGAGAGGGCAATTTTTTTAAAGGCAGCGCGGGAAACGACGCGTCTCGTCGTGATTGAGTTATGGATATTGCTAGCCGTGGTGTCAGAGAGATAAAGCAAGTATATTGCATACATCATCCGAGTATCTGATGATTTATTTTATTGCACTGAAATTTCGTGCGTTACGCTATAAAACATTTGCAATGTACAGCGATGGTTATGTAAATCAAAGCCAAAACCGAGTTTTACCGCAGTAGCTAAAACTAGGTTAGAACGCGACGCCATGTTTTTCATACTTTCTCTCTCTCTCTCTCTCTCTCTCTCACCCTTTCTATGTACACACTGCATATTCAACTTACATTAACGTCGTTAAATATTTCTTTCCTTCTCTCTTCTTCTATATACATATATTGTATAAAAACATGCATGCACTGGATATTATTGTCAACATCACTGATAAATTGTTTGACCAGACAGTGTTACAACGACTATGTCATTTCGCCAACGTCTCGCTACCAGCAATATTTAATCTACTGTTATATACACACTGTTTCGTAGGATATTCTGCTACCAAATAAAAGACACTAATGCAAAAGACGTTCCGAATCATCTACCACAAATGACATAGAACATAAAACTTGCAGCATGCACCTAGCGCGCATAAATTCTAACCTCAACGCTACACAACAACACCGGTACGCACGTACAACTCGAGATGCAATCTAAATCACCAGCCACGTCGTAACAGGCTCTTCTAGAATAACGCGACATTAAGAGATATCTCCGTAGGAAGAATAAAAGATGATTACGCTCCGTGGATAAATGTACGCAAAAATTAACAAAAAGGACTGCACGACCACCGATGATGACACTTGATTACAGTGGTCCTTGGCTACGGTGGCGCTATCTTCCTAAACGTAACCAACCAACGAGCAGATTATTTGCGCGACGATAATCCTCAATCCCCCTGGGCCGAATATTTTTCTTGACTAGAAAAAAAATTCCAGCCTGTACTACAGATTAACAATGAATTCAGCAGTTTCGAAAATTTTATTATAACGAATAATATACATTTCAGGATAGAGGTGATAACTGTTATCGAGAATAGTTAATAAGATGACATTGTGCTACAAGACATATACGCCATCTTGTAGGGAAAAGTTTAATTATTTAATAAAATATCGATGTTTGGTATGTGACTTGAAAGTTACACGGGCCCATAGAGAGTTAATATCTCTCGCGGCCCTCACGTAATTAGCTTGATTAGCGTGGTACGAAGAGCTCGAGTATCAAAGCAGAGGGAAAATCTCGCGAACAGTCGTTTCCCGAATTTTCACGTGATTACGAGTCCACCGGACCGGATGAACGAAATTCTGCTTGGAAGAAGGGCTCCACGGATTAATTTACCACGGATTAGTAGAAGGATCCAAGTCATCGAGCAAAAAGTCTTTGTTTCTTCGATGAATTTGTTGAATTACTTGAACCGCTTCAATTCTTTCAGAAATCCTCCACGATCACCAATCGAAAATATTACACCTACTATTGGTTGAGTAAAAAGTAACTTCGTATTTTAATGCAAAAATGAAACAAGTTTTTCATTTTAAGCGAAATTTCGTTTATGTGCCATTTTTTAGGTGAAACCATAATCCCATTACTGTAGAATTTCTGTGAGAAAAACTGCGACACGTGATTTTTCGCAGGCCTCTTTTGAAGACAACTTTACACGATTAAAGACCGAAAGAAATAGCCTACCCCCTATACAGTGGATGCGTCAAAACTTCCCAGCCAAGCTCTCTCAATTTTCAACGGATCGCCAAAGAAATTCGATTCATTAAATTTTTCAGTGTTAAATCACGTAGCACCCAAAATCCAGCTTTTTTTGTATCCAGCCTTATCCAAATAGATTAAACCAATTTTATGGTCCTACCGATATTGTGCCGGTTTTGCTTGATTTAATCGACTTTTCCAGTGATTGATTGATCAGAGCATCTTTTTCCAGATTGAAAACCAGCTTTGTGCTATGCATACGGACATTATAAAAGTTCAAAATGCATCGATTTGCTTCTTTAATTTCACTCACATTTTCCAAGACGCGATAACTTTCGACTGAAATAAA